TGTCCTGCTGCATCGAGGTCGTGTTGTAGTTTTAATGTGTCTTCTTTGTTGTTTATTGTCTTGTATATTATGCTGTCATCTGCAAATAGTCTAAGTGTGCTGTATTTCATGTATTCGTGGAAGTCATTTATGTAGATGAGGAAGAGGATGGGGCCCAAACAGGTTCCTTGAGGGACCCCAGAGGTTACTTGTATTTTGTCTGATTGTTTGCCCTCAAGTACTACTGTTTGGGTGCGAAATGAAAGAAAGTCTGTAATCCATGCGTGTGTGTTCCCTGTTATCCCGTAGTATTTGAGTTTGTATTGTAGTCGTTTGTGTGGGACTTTGTCGAAAGCTTTGGCAAAGTCCATAATGATGATGTCTGTCTGTTTGTTGATGTTGTTGTTTGATGCGAGGTCGTGTATGAATGTGGTGAGCTGTGTTTCACAGGATCTGGAGGATCTAAAGCCGTGTTGTAGGTCATATAATATGTTATTGTTCTCCAGGTGTGTCATTGTGGCGCTTGTTATGATGTGTTCCATAAGTTTACATGTGATGCAGGTAAGTGAAATTGGTCTGTAGTTCGTTGGATTGTACTTGTCTCCTTTTTTGTATACTGGGTTGACGTTTGCGTGTTTCCAATCTGATGGTAGTGTTCCTGTAGTGAGTGAGCGGGTGAAGATTTTTGTGAGAATGGGTGCTGTGATCATGATGTCACTTAATTCTTTTCGTTAAATTATAGGTGTATTTTAAAAAGTATCTAAGCAGATATTCATAGTCTCTAACCATATTAACTATCTCAATTCACAGATTTGTGTAAAATTACAACATTGATCCCAATTGAAGTCGATCGTCATACAGGGGTTGCCAGCTCATTAATTCATTATTTGGGGGGGTTTCGATATAAATTTCTTATGATAATTATATTTTATCAGAAAAGAATGGTTAGTTATACAACACTGAAAATATTAGCATATAAAAGCATTATATCATTTATTGTAAATGATATTTCTGACTGGTCAATACTATTATGTTTAATCAGTTGTTTTATAGCTTAATTGTTGACAGATTCATAACAGTATTGTGACCGACAAGTCATTGTCATTTGATATAAATAAATATTGTGACAGGTCATGGTCATTTTCATATAATAGGGTAATGACCATGATTTGTAGTCACAAAATTGCTATCATTTTCAACATATTGTCAACAGACCTAAATAAGTATACTGCTGTAAACATACAGTGTAGTTTTAGATCTGGGGTCACCCTAATGAGTGTCCTCCGGGTAATGAGTGTCCTCCGAGGTTTTTGCGCGCCCGCGAGTTCGTTATAAGATTTATTTCACTTATTTCTTCTGATTCCTAAATATTGTTCATATATCTAGGTGTGTGCAAAATTTAAGTTCGATCGTAACAGTACAAAGTACCGAAATACGTCGATAAAAATGCATATTTGGGAAGAATGAGTGTCCTCGGAGGTTTTTGCGCGCCCGCGAATTCGTTATTAGATTTTTTGCACTTTTTTCTTCTGATTCTTAACTATTGTTAACTTACCTAGGTGTGTGCAAAATATCTGGTTGATCATAACAGTAGAAA